GAATTCTGATTAGGAACCATTTGATCAAATCTTTTAAAAAATAAAATCTCTTCCACGGAAGGACCCGATCTGTGGATGATTCGCCCTGACTTACCCCGTTCACAGACTCAGATTGGTCCGCTGAACTCTTACCCATCCAGGTGCTAACAGTTATCTGGATGGAGGGGGGGATGTGCTCATATGTTTGGAGACTTCGCAAGGAAGTTTAATCAACCTTGCTTGCACTTTTCCATTTTAAACTCAGGCAACTATCATACCCCAAGTTGCAAACTAACAAGTTTTTAATTTGTTAATTTATTTTTTAGAGATATGGTATTAATTTGTTTATTAATTTTTTTAAGTTATTGTAGAATATAATTATAAAAGTAATTTATAATTCATTTTTAGTTTAAGCATTAGAGTCTAATAACAATTAAAATGAAATTATTTCAGTATGTAATAAAGCTATTTAAAAGTTTCCTGATTAGCTACTATTTTTACAAAAAAAGGTGTAAAATTTCATAAAACTTTTAGGTTAAATTTTATATAAATTGAGATTATATCTTTAAGGTATGAAAATTTTTGATGATTTAAGTTAGAGGTAAACAAAAGGTTAATTATGAAAAATGAAAATTTATAAATATCAATTTATATTAGTAATATCGTTAAGAAAATATCATTTAATTATTGAAAAATTTTGTAAGATAGTGATAAAAAAGATAATTTAAATAGAGTAGGTTTTAATAAATATAATTAATTATCAAGATTAGATAATTGAACAAATTTTGCTATGTTATATTTAAGCCCTTTAAGAAACTGATGATGAAAACTTAAAAACTTAAAGAAGTATTTTAAAAAAGTGATTTTTTAAGTAAAATTTTTATATTAATACAAATTAATATTGATTACAATTGATATTAATTAAAAATTAAAAATTGTTCATTTCATAGATAAATAATTATTAAGAGATATCCAGAAAATATAGAAGTATATATAGTATTAAAGGTATAAGAGAATTTATTTAGCAAAAATCTTACAATAAGAAAAAATTTGGAGAGATTATAGAATTGTAGATTGAGGCCATCTCTTATTTACATGAAAATGTTTAATTTAATGAATAAAAAGGTAAATTATATTATTTATATCTTTAGCTATATATTTAATATATTTTTTATATAATTTCCTTAATAATTGTGTTAATTTAGATATTTAATTATAAATAATTATTATTCAATTTACGTTATTTCTTTTACATATGATCTTTAATAATTTTTTTTAATTGTTATTTTTAAATTAAAAATTATTTGAAAAATAGCTAGATTATTAAACTTAGAAATCAACAACATTAAATATAAAATATGATATTTTCTATTATTAATGAATGACACTGCTCCTATTAGGATCATTTTTAATCATCTATTATAAATAATAAAACTCAAAATAATCTGTTTCTTGAATTTAAATCTAAAATTAAAGGTGATATATTGTTATTAAATTTAAATCTGGGATACTTTTGATTAATTTCTTTTAATGATCAAATTTAAATATTTCTATTAACTCATCTACTATTAAATTGATATCGATCTACCCAACAGACATTGCTTGAGAATTATTTAAATGATGTAATTATCTTATCATAAGAGTATGTAAATTGATTATCTATTTTTATGATTAAATTGTAATCATCTTAATCTTTTATGCCATCATATAATTAGAGCAAACATTTCTTTTTGTAAAAGTAATTACCTTATTCTTCAATGAATTCACTTTTTTTCTAAGCTATCTTTTCTAAAACATCATTTTAACTTAAACTATAGAAAGAATGAAAAATTTGATTTTCTTAATTTTAAGAATTGTTATTTAAATTTTCATTTATACTTTAAAATATTTCTTGATTATCATCATCCTTATTTTACTCTTGAAATTTATTTTCAGGCCCTAAATTACAATATTCATAATGAAAGAGCTAAATAATTGGAATTTCAATTTTTGTTTATTTGACTGATGTAATTAATTATTGACCTATTTCTTTAGTCATCAACCAATTAATTTAATTTGATTTAATTCTAATTCATTTCATAATAGTTTGTTTTTTAAATTATCTACACTCCATTTATCTATTATATTATTTCTTGATAATCTTATTCTTACTTTCTGACTTTTCACTTTAAAGATTAATTGTCCATCATCCAATTCTTCCAGCCCTTGTTTATCATCTTCATCATTAATCAATTCTTTAAATACAGACACTGAAAAAATAGATTGTTTTCGTTGTACTTTGATTTAAATCTCCTAAACTGGATTAGTTTAATACTGATTAGTTCAAACCTTCAATCTGAGATTCTTCAAACTAAACTTCTGTATCATCTTCATTGACATAACTTTTCTCTAATGCTTACTCAAAATCATCATTAAATTCAATTGTAGCTTCATCACTTAATGATTTACTATCCATCTCATCAGTTTTGATTTCTCCAATCTAATCACAATAATTTTTATTAATTCCTGATTTACACCAAATAAGTTGAAATTGAGGTGCTTTAGATAAATTTATTATGTTCAATTATACTCATTATAATTCTCATTGCTATCTATAAATACGTATAACTTAAATTCATTTACATCAATTAAATACTAAGTGTACTATTAAATTTTAACCTTTCTTTCAATTCAGTTTTTAAATGAATAACAATATGTTAATCATATTTATTTGTATATTATTATTACAAACTAAATATGCAAGATTCCTTTTAAAAATTGTTAATATCAAACAATTGATTTTATTCATTAATATGTAATGAACATCCACCAATAATTATGGTGCTGACCATTTAATCTTTCTCTTCCTGTAATTTTCGAACTCTCATACTTCTCTTATCAAAAAAACTTTTTAAACAAATTATAATTTATTTAATACAATAAGCTTTAAAAACAGTATGTATCAGTGATATCAAATCTGTATTTAGGTATAATATAATTGAATTAATAAATTTAAAAAATAGAAATTATTCTAATTAATCCATAATCAATTTTAATTAAAAAAATGATTACTATTGCTTATAGATTTATGAAAGAGATTAAAGAATCAATTTGATAGCAGATGGTAAAATATGTTTATTGAAGAATAAAATTGAATTATTAAATTTTTCTGATAGTTAATAAGATTTACATGGATAAACATAAAAATTGTTTATAAGTATAAAAGTATTTAAAGATTGAAAGTGAGAAAAGAATTATTTGAGGGATATTAAAAAGAATTATTAGATTTAATCCTGAAAAACTAGACCAAGTCAGAAATTAATTGGTTTTTTTAAATAAATATTATCATTTGAACTCATTGTTTATTCAGTATGAAAATTTTGTTATCTTCAATTGACTCTTTAGTTAGGGGAAACCATCAAAAAGTATAAACACGAGATAAATTTTCAGATTGATTAATAGGATATTATGATGTAATTTAGATATGTCAGAATACAATGAATTAATAACAATAAACATAAAAAAGTTAACCTTTTACTAACAATTGATAAAAATTTAAGAGTACTGGTGTTTATAATAAGAATATAAATTTACATCAATAAACTAATGTTTATACAATTAAATGATAATTAATATTATAGAATATACAAACTTATAAATAAGTGAAAGATATTTTTTGTTAGAAATTGCATAATTTTTTTTAAATGTTTTAAGTCCTCTACTTATTCATTTCATATTTATGATTTTAAATTGAAATCAGTTCTATTTTTATTATATTTGATATCTCTCAATTCTAAATTACTAAAAGCCAATACCATTTCTACCTAGATATACTTTTTTTGATCCATTTAAGGAAAACCATCATAAAACTCTGCCGTTTTCAAATATAAATGGAACATTTTAATCAAAGACATATTTTATTCATATTATCCAAATCTTAGAGACTCTATGAAATTAAATTCTCCTCCTAATTTAATTTATGGATGATGACAACATCCATAATATGATTATATTCCATGTATCTAACCAATATGGTTAAAATGTGATAGATCTATACTTCGCTTTTATGGTTACTTTCAAGCATCACTTGGAGAGAATCCTAATAAAATTTATAGAATTAAAAAAGTTATAATCTATTATTATCTTTCTGATTGCACAACTCATATAATACCTCTAAATAAGTATTTGTAAAATGATAGAAAAGTATTATCTTTTGATATTATTTTGGACGACTTAAAATTATGATTGTATCATCCCCTTAATAAAAGGAGATGATAAATTTCTAGAACTTTCTTCTCTAACTTTGCTTATTTATCTGACTTCAAATCTTAATCTGAATTGATCTTAAGTATACAATTTATTTTTATTAAACTTCAGAAAGAAATAATGGAATTTGGATATTTTATTTAAATTATTTATAAGGATGGGAAATTTTTAGAAAGGTCTAGATAGAAAAATCCTTTGATTAATGACTAATATACTGAAATAGTATATTTATAATTTAGGATTTCTAATTAGGAGATGTTGTTTAATTTAATGTTTACAAATTTTAATTGATTAGAGAAGATTTATTTACTATTAATTATATGAAATAAATTTAGATGTTTTCGAAGAAGCAGATATTTCATAAATAATTGCTAAATTAAGAATTTTTACAAAACACTATAGGATTTAATCTAACTTTATAAGAATAATATATATTAAATTATGTATGAAATCACTATGGGAATGATTTGGGGGAAAAAGAAATGAATAAATTATTTTCTAACCAAATTATAATGTATTTTTATTAAAAATTATCAAATATTTTTTAATTATGTTATAACAAAATATATTAATTTTTAAGAATTTAAACTTATTCAATAATCATCGAAAATTCATGAATCTGACTAGATATAATTATTTGCAAAATTTAGCTTTCATCTAAAAAAGCATTAAAGAAACCAATTATGTAGCTTTAGATTTTGAATTTACAGGTGTGCTTGCTTCATCTTTATTAAGAAATTCTCTCCTTGATTCTGTATACCACAATAAATTATCAAGTTTTAAATGCGATATTGGAAAGTCAAAGAAAATGTGAGACGATTCCTACCAATTTAAATGGGTCTATGTACTTTTAAAGAGTAACTCAATTCTAATAGTATTATTGCTCTTCGAATTAATTTTTATATCTATCCTTATGGTGTAGATGGTTATTTAGATAAACAATTCTAATTGAGTGTAATTATATATATATAGAGTAACTCTATTTCATTTCTTACAAATAATAATTTTCATTTTTCTAGGACTTTTAATGAAGGAATTCTTTATTTATCCCATTAAGATGAAAAAATTATGAGAGAAACTAAAAGAATATCAGATTTAAGAAATGATATGAGATGTTTAGATAAATTGTAAACGATCAATTTTTTTAATCAATACAAAGTCTAAGTTGAAAAATTTCTTAAACTAAGTGATATTGATTAATTTGAAATTCCAATAAAAAGACTCAAAGTCAAAGTATATAAACATTTAATTGAAAATGTATAAAAAAATTTTGAGTTTATTTTTAGGTGAAAAAAGAATACGGAAAGAGCTATGAATTTTATTGTAAATATGATTCTGATGTTTTGATAAAAAGAGAGAAATAGTATATTGTGAAAGGACCAGAACCTTTAGAAACAAATAAATAGAATTTTGAAGAAGTTAATGAATTAGCTGGAGTGAGAGAGTTACTAGATCAAATTAGTTAATAAAAAACTCCACTTTTTAATACATAATGGTTTAATTAATATTATGGATGTAAAATATTATATTGATTTAAAAAGGTTTATGATAAATTTTCTGAAACTCTACAAGATTCAAGAATTGAATTCATTACAAAGGTCAATTAAATGTTTTAAGAATTTAATAATACCAAATTTTTAATCAATTAAAGTTATAGTGTATATAATAAAGTTGGATAGTTTTCTGAACTTAAGAACAGTTTTATTAATTTATAAAATCTGGAACCAAATATTGTTTTTGGAGAAGAATGTTAATAATACAATAATCTTGATGAGAATTAAGCCTTAGAACATGGAGCTGGATTTGATTCATATATGGCTGGAAGTGATTTTATAAAGCTAAAAAATTAATGAATCTTGATTAATCTAAATTAGATCTTTATAAGAACAAAGTTCCATAAAGCCCAATTAAAATGCCATTTGATTTAAGTCATAAAACTGGAGAAGATAAATATCATAATAAATAGATTTTTATTTTTCATGTTGAAATTTTAGAAAAAAATTTAGTTCCTGATTCTTTGATTAAAAGTTATTTCAAAGAAACTTATACTACTGACACAGACCTCTTTTTATCTTATGGATAAAACTTTGAATATTTTATGTTCTTTTAAACTTTTGAAGAATCTTAATAATTTAGAAAAACAATGAAGAATGGAGTAACAATTAGTATTTATATGAAAAAATGTATAATTAAAATTGGAGATCATGAATTTATAATTATAGAATATGAAAACTATGTACAAAAGCTTTAGAGAAGAGCTAAAGATGAATTGTCAATAAAAGAAATGCCTACAATATTAGAATGATATTTCATTATTATTAATTATATAACAATATGAATTATAGAGTGAATTAGGTTGTACCAGAATTAGAACATAGATCATTTTTAGATAAAAGTGGAGGAAATCAAGGAAGAAAAAGTGAAATTGAGATTCAAATAGAAAAGAAAATAGAAAGAGCGAGAAAAAGATTAGAATCACTCTCTCCAATAGAATTTGTAAGTTATTTTATATAAGGTAGTTGATAGAAATAATTAAAAGGGAACAAAAAAATGATGTATAACGCATAGTTGAAAAATATATGGAACGATATTGGTAAGCCAATCCCGATAGTAGAATTTTTAGCTTAGACTAATTTTTATGTTTACCTAATTGCAAATGTTTTAAGAAAATTTTGAATATCATTACTTCATTTGAAGTAAAAGGGTTTAAGAAATCTTTTTAAATAAAAGATGATTTCTAAATTTGTAGGTTTTATGGTAGCGTTTATTTCTAAAACAATGATAATAATTCTATTCAATATGAAATGATAAACTTAAAGATTTTAAAAATATTACCTGATATTTTAGGTAATAAAGAAGTCTTTTTGTAAATATAAGAAATAGCATTTTCTAAAGATAATGAATATAACAAGTAGTAAATAATCAAAGAAATTTTAACGATAGAAAACATCGAAAATATTTTAAGAAAATATGATCCATAAAAGAATAATTTGGAAAATAACTTTTTAGATTGGTTAATTTATTTTATTTAATATGTTGATTTTGAATCGTTAAAGAATTTTGTGGATGAAAATACAAAATTTATAGAATAAAATGACTATAATTATGATATATGGAGGGGTTAAAGTTGTGAGTATGGGTTTTAAACAACACAGGAAGAACTTTATATAGGTTAATTTTTTTAAAATAAGTATCATGGCAGTGGAAGATTGTGGTAAGATTTCTCAAAATAAAACAAAACAAAATCTGAGTAATTTTTTGATGGTGAGAAGATAGAAGATAAGTTTAAATTTGTAAATCAAAATGAGAATAAAAAAAAATTTGGGATTAATTAAAATGTTTAAATTATTCCAAAAGATGTAGATAATCAAGAAAAAGGAGAATTTGTTAAAAGAGTTAAAGATAAATATGAATATGCAGGACAATTCCTAAATAAGAAATTTGATGGTAATGGTATAATTAATTTTGAAAATGGAAACAAATACAAAGGATAATGGAAAGATGGTTTAATGGATGGAATGGGACAATTTATATGGGTAAATGGAGAAGAATATATAGGACAATATGTAAAAGGTAAAAAACATGGATTTGGTAAATATCAATATTTAAACAAAATATATCTTGGTTTTTTTAGAAATGGATTTTAAGATGGAATAGGACTAATAAAAAAAGGAAATGGTTAATATTTTGAAACTGAATGGCATAATGGGAAATTAGATATTTGAATTAACAATCAAAATTTTATTGAAATATTATTTGTTCCTCTAGCTTTTCTTATATTAATTGTGAATTTTGAAATGAAAAAGAAAAATTTTCTCTTGAGCTAATTAAAAAAAAAGATTTTAATAAATTAATATTATCTTTTACCTTGATCATCCTTTCAAATTTTTTCTAAACTATATTTATTTTTCTATTTCAATCTCATCAAAAATTGTACTTAAAACTAAAAAGCGTTTAAATATCATAAACTGCTTTAAATTATTTAATTAAGCTTAAATTAAACTTCTCTTAACATAACAAATATAATTATTATTTTATCTCCTAAATGATAATTTAAAATAATAATTTTACAGTTTAATGGTTTTCGGTTTTTTAATATTCTATTTCTTTTATAAATCACAATTAATGAATCTCATGATTTAAAGTTTGGATAAAAAGAATTACATAAGTTATGGGTATTGAAATGTGATTTAATTTTTAAATCTCAGAAATCATTTATTTGAATTGCATTATCATTCCATCAAAAAGCCACGTTTCTAAGTACATTAAATATCTTAAATTGATCAGTGAATCTTGATGTGTACTCTTCTTTATTGAAAAGAAAAATAAATTTAAATTAAACTAGTGAATAATACAATTTAATATTTTAAAAATAATAAAATAAGAACTTTTCTTAGTTAATGATGAATTTAAGTAGATCTTATAAATTATTTTATTCGTATTATGATTTCTATTTTATAAATAAATATATATTATTTAATATTATTCTGTTTTTTACTAATTCAAAAGTATTAATTAAATGCAATAATTACATGGTAGTTAATCATAATTGTTTTTAAAATTATTAATATTTTACTAAAACATCCATAGGTGTCATTTATCAATCATTCAATTTTGATAATTCAATTAAATGAAATTTTAGTGTCGGATATTATGGTAACATCATAAATATTAAAATAAAAGGATTCATAAAAAATTAATATTATGTAAATAAATCTAATAGAGGAATTCATTTCCATCATTATTTAATTATTGGTAGTTAAAGTTTTTATGTTTCTAAAGAAGTGTTGATAATGGATTATTCTAAACCAGCTAATTAAGTTTCCTCTTGAGATGAATTAAATGGATATTTTAATATTTAAGGTAGAATAGATGATGATTCATCATTTCTTAAAAACTGCTCTCCTTCATCCTAATTATAAATATATTATTACTCTGAGTTCTTAATCTGTTAAATTATAAGTCTTAATCTCTTTAATTAATTATTATAGGTCTAATTATCCTTTATCTCTTTTGAGAGAGGATTCAGATTTTCTAATTTTGGATATTTCTTTTTCTTGATGATATTATTAAAATGGAGTTAATTTAGGAGCAGATATTTACTTGTAAATTTTGTTCTTTTCAACATATAAAGGAATATCTTCATCTGATAGTTACAATTCAATTTATTCTCCATTATTTAAAGAAGCTATTTCTTTTTGTAATATATCTAATGCCTTTTGTATATTAGATAAATGAGATATGAGATTTTCTCAATTCATTACAAGATTTCACTAAATTTGTATTTTCCTTTTAAACTCTAATTATTAAACTAGTTTTATCTTCATCAGCAGCTTTACTAGTTCTAGTTATTGTATTTATTTATTTGCTAAGGAAATCTCTTTGTCTTAACATTTCTTCTCTTATTGCAATTTCTGTATTCTTTTCAATTTCAGCATAGATTGAATCTTTATCAACAACACCTTTATTTGTTTTTCCTGTAATAAAATGTTACTTATGAACATTTTTCAACATTTCTTTAAAATCAGTAATTTCAAGATCAGCTAATACTTTAAATATATCATTTCCTATCTCTTATACTTCTAGAAAATAAAGAATCTCTCTTCATTAAATATTAATTTTTTAATTCTTTAATTTTATTTGAAGTATCTTCTATTAAATTTTCTAAATTTTTTTCTGCTTCTGCTTCATCTGTCGACTCTTAATACATTATTTTGACATTTTAGTCTAAATCTGATAAATGTTCTTAAAGAGGTGCTTTTTATTCTTATAAGGATTGTAAACGATAAGAATTAACATTTTTAAAATTTTATAAATGACCATTTTTATTTCTATAATTCTTAATTTCCTTTTCTTTTTAAAAAATTTATCTCTCTCTTTCTTTTAATTAATTTTTCTTTTCTTCATTTATTTTTTTAAAATTATCTTTTTCTTTAGTAACAAGTTATATTTATGTATCTGTTTCTCTTATCATATTTTGTAATTCTTATTTTCTTAATTGATATCTATCACATTCTTTTTTAAATTTAGTATTACTAGATCTAATTTTTTCACTTTTTTCTAATAATTCTTTTAATTTAATAAGTTTTTTTTCTTTTTATTCATTTATTAATTATTCAAATTCTTTTTCAGTTTCTTTGAATACTTCTAAATATTTCTTTTCATCTAATTCGAAAGATTCTTTTGATGATTAAAATCTTGAAAATAAATCATTAAATTTAGTATCTTAATCATTTTTAATATTTGCTCGAATAGATTCAAGATGAGCCTTCTTTTATTCATAAACTTTTTAATTTTCTTCATTGATAAGTTATAATCTAGATTTAACTTCATCATTTTTTTAATACAATAATAAAAGATCTTTTTCAGTTTTTTCTTAAATTTAATGTGATTCAACTTAATTCTGTTTTTTAAGATTAACTAAAGCAAGATCTAAATTTTTATTTCTTCTATCTTTATCTTCCATAGTATTAGATAATTCTTCCTTATAATTAGCAATAAGACGTTAATAATGTTATTCTAATTCTTTTTCTTATTTTTAATATTT